CCCAAAAAATAAATAAACGTTGAAAAAAAAAAAAATTAAAAAAAAAAAAAAGGTTTTGGTACACATGTAGTATTTTTTCTTAAAAATATATAACTGCTCATCAACCAATTCAGATGGAACTGATGAATCATTACATTGTACACCTGAAACTAATATTAACGCTCTATGGTAACTGCACTGGAATTAAAGGAAAAGAAAAAATCTCCATATATAACTGCTCATAATAGCATGAAGAAACACATCTTAAAATTTCAGCTGTCTCCGTCTTTCCCAATTTCTCGACCAGGTGTCTTTTCCATTACCCATCATATTACTGTGGACGGTTTCACAATACTACATGTATGGAGTCAATTATGTCCCTCCCTAAATTCATATGATAAAGCCCCAATCCCCAAATGTGGCTGTATTGGGAGACAGGGCCCTCAGTGAGGTAATTATTGTTAAATGATATCAAAAAGGTGGAGCCCTAATCCAAGAGGGCTGGTGCCCTTGTAAGAAAAGGGAAACACCAGATCACTCTCAACACACATACAAAATAGAAGAGGCCATGCGAGGGCACAGAAAGAAGGCAGCCATTTATAAGCCAGGAAGGAAGCCCTCACCAGAAACTGAGTCAGCTGGCACCTCAATCTGGGACTTCTAGCCTCCCAAACTGTGAGAAAATAAATGTCTGCTGTTTAAGCCACCAAGTCTTATATTCTGTTATGGCAGATGGGGCAGACTAATACACTACACTAAGTTATATTATTTTGCCATGTTGAATTTAAGCTTTATATCAGATACCATGTTAGTAATGGCTACAAGACAATCATCTGTAGCTTACTTTACCTATTATAACTGTAGGAATTTTCTTCATTGTTGCAAACAAGGAGATTCTCCCATTTTCCTTTCTCTTCTTTTGTGTTTTTCATTATTTTATAGACACATGAATATAATATTTTTTCACTTTAACTATATCATAAGAAAGAAAAAATATAAGTACTCGGCTAAGCTGCTGAGACTAAGCCCAAGCTTAGGGGATGGAAGAGAGAACTAAGGTAAAGCAGAGAATGAGAATTCTAAGGAGGGTCAACCATTATTCAGGTACAGTCCATTGTTGATAGGCAAAAATAATGCTCCATAGTTACCAACTCTTCTAATTTCCAATTTTAAATGTTCACAGCTAATTCAAATTAAAAAATAAAAAAAGGACACACATGAAAACATGTTTCCACAAAAATCTGTACATGGATGTTCATAGTAGCATTATTCTAATAGCCAAAAAGTAGAAACAAGTCAAATGTCCATCAACTAATAAATTAACAAATGTGGTATATCTATACAAGGAAATATTATTCATAATAAAGAATTAAGTGCTGATACATGCTACAACAAGGGTAGACCTTGAAAGTGAAAGAAGCAGCAGTTTTGCCATGCAAAAGAAGTCAGACACAAAAGGCCCTACGTCGTATGATTCCATTTATATGAAATGTTCAAACCAGGCAAATCCACAGAGACAGAAAGTAGATTAGTGACTTCTAGGGGTTAGGGGAAGATAAAAAATGGCAAGTGACTAATTAAGGTTACAGGGTTTCTTTATGGGATGATGGAAATGTTCTATAATTAGATGGTAGTTATGGTTGCACAACATTGTGAATATACTAAAAACCACTGAATAGTACACTTCAAAATGGCAACTTTTACATTAATTAAAAACAAAACAAAAAACAAAGCAGCACTTGCTTTGGACAAACGAAAATAAACATGTTTTCAGGCCAAATCAGACTTGCATGCTGCCAATCTACAATTTCAACTCTCTATTAAAGATTCTCAAATGATACTTTAAAAAAAATTTTTTTTTAATGTTTATTTGTTTTTGAGACAGAGAGAGACAGAGCATGAACGGCGGAGGGTCAGAGAGAGAGGGAGACACAAAATCTGAAACAGGCTCCAGGCTCTGAGCTGTCAGCACAGAGCCTGACGCGGGGCTCGAACTCACAAACCGTGAGATCATGACCTGAGCCGAAGTCGGACGCTTAACCAACTGAGCCACCCAGGTGCCCCTCAAATGATATCTTTACCCATTCTACATATAGGCAGAAGAGTATGACTGCAAAATTTAACAAAAGAAAGACTGTTTCCAATTAGCAGAAAAAAACTAAAATAAAGGTTAGGATTTCCTTCAACTTTGTTTTTCCCCATAAAATTTCCTTTTTTAATTTTTTCATCCCTTCTAAATTAGAATACAGATTCTAACATGGAGTAAAAATATAGATTCAACTTCATGGCATCCTGTAAGTAACTTCCAGGTAGTATATCACCTAACAAAATATCCTGGGTCTTAAACAGAGGAGGACTTAAGTTATACCTAACACTTGCTTTGCAATCTATTATAGTCTGAGAATAACAGTCAACAAATTTTAAAGAGCTTCAAGCTCTTACAGTAGTAGTATGACTGACCCTAATGTGAGTGTGAAAAAAATGAGTGTCAGCAGAACTTAGAAAAAGGATCAAGATTAGGAGATTCTAGATGGCCCTGAAGAATAACTAGAATTTCCACACTGGAGGAACATTATCTCGAGATAAAAGCATGATAAGACACAGAAGGAATGCCCAAGACACCAGGAGAAAATAAAGAAGTCTAGATAATCTGGAACCAGTGATCCTGTAAGAAAACAGTAGGAGACAACAGCAGAAAATAGTTTGAGGCCAGACTAGGAGATTCTGAATGGCAGTTTAAGAAATTCAGACTTTTTCAAAGGCAATTCTAATTACATTTGAAATTAAAAAACCAATTTAATTATTTAGTTAGTGAATGTTTTTGGACATATGATGCCATTTTTGGATCTTTTTTCTGCCTATTTTTATATGTAATGCATTTCTTCTTGGCATGTATATAAAAAGTAATTTTCCTAAGGTTAGGCACAAAGCATGACAATTTAACAAAGAAAAATCTATTTTAGTTGCAAGAGTAGCTGTTTTATTCTTTATTCATTTCCTGTTTATTTTTTCCTCCCTGATGTCTGATTTCCGAATATCCCCCTAGCCCCCCGCCCAAGGGGGGCTATATCTAATAGTTTGTTTATATCTAATAGTAATAAAAATGACAAGCCCAGAATCCCATTTCTTTGGTCTTGGTTGGAACAGAACATAATTACACCTGAGAGGATAGAGTAAGAGATAGGGCTTTGGGGGCTGAATAAAACTGTCTACTACAAATTATATGTTAGTGCAGCATCGAAAGTACAGGCACTCTGGACAAAGACCCGAACGACTGCCCAGGTGTGAATACTGGGTGCACCACTAACAGGTTATGTGACTCTGGGAAAGTCACTCAAACCTCTCCGTATCTCGTTTCTCTCATCTGAAAACAACAACAATGAACTAATGTCATGCCTAACAGTTGTTGCGAAGATTATATGACTTACCATATGTAAATCACTGAGAACAGTACTTGACACATGGGCAGTGGTATGTGCCAGCTATTTTATCCACTTTAGTGTAAGCTTCACAAAGACAAGGATTTCAGTCTTTGTCTACTAAAATGGTGTTTGGAACACAGGTGTACAGTAAGTATTTCTTGTCAGATGCTTAATGAACTGAGCCACCCGGGGGGCCCCTCGTTGTGCTTTCTCTTAACTCTTGAGGGTGATAACATCAGCATTCATTAAGGAGTAGTGAAAGACTTTGTTGTATTTTTGAACAGACTTTGAAAGACTTTGCTGTATTTGAAACAAAACAGCTTTTTGAAAGACTGTTGTATTTAGACAAATACAAGGTTAGGAGGAAACTGCCTCTATAACCTTTTGCTATTCAAAGTGTGGTCCTTTGACCAGCATCATCAGTGTCACCTAGGTCCTTATTTAATATGGCAAATCGGCAGCCTCACATCAGATCAACTCAATCAGTGTCTGCACTATAAAAAGATCACCAGGTAAACAGCATGTCTATTAACATTTGAGAAGTACTGCCCTAGATCACTCTAGTTGAAGAGTATAGGTGATACAAAGATCAGGGTTTAAATCTAGACTCTGACACTTTATTATCTGTAGCAGTGAGGGCAAGTTTATAAACTTCCTAATTCCCTCAACTCTAAAATCGAAATAATAGTAGTAGTTACTTCAAGGAGCTGCTATGATGATGAAATGAAAATGTACACACAGCATTTTGTGGGCTGCACTGTAACATGACTAGTGGGAATATAAAATGGTGCAGCACCTGTAAAAAATGGTATGGCAGATCCTCAAACTACCATATGATTCAGCAATTCCACTTCTAGGTATATACTCAAGAGAAGTGAAAGCAGGAACTCGAACAGGTATTTGTACACCTGTGTTTGTAGCAGCACTATTCACAACAGCCGAAAGGTGGAAGAAACTCAACTGTCTACTGACAATGAATAAATAAAAACATGACACACATACACAGTGGATTATTACTCAGCCTGTCATTATGCTCGGTGAAATTAGCCAGTTACAAATGAACAAACAGTCTATGATTTCTTGAACACAAGATTCCTAGAGTCAGGCAAACTCAGAAAGTAAAATGGTGGATGCCAGGGGCTAGAGAGAGGGGTTAACAGGTACAGAGTTTCAGATGGGGAGGATGACTCCGGAAACAGACGGTGGTGACAGATGCCCAACAACGTAAATGTACTTCATGACACAGAATTGTACACTTAAAATAAGTGGTTAAAATGATAAATTCTATGTTATGGTCATTTTACTCCAATGATAAAAAAGAGTTCACTAAGTATCTTTGCATTCTTAAAATAGTAAAAATGTTTTGATGATCTGAACATGTTTTATTTAAACTTTTTAAATGTTCAATATAAAAGATGATAGTACTCAATGGCTTTTTGCTTCTTATTTTTCATTAAAGAAAAGAAAAATCAACCTCCTTCTACAGGAAGACTTCAACTTTTCAAATTGAGAGAATTCTAATTAATACAGCTGGAAGCAGGAGTAGAAGAAGAGAGAAGAAATTACAAAACAAAGCAAAACAAAACACACAAAAAAAACCTTGTTTAGGTGCTTCTTCCTCCTTTTTAGTCTCCTCATCCTCTAAGCTGGGACTTTCCCGGGAAGAGTTGTCCTGTTGGCTAGAGTTTTTCAGTAGCACAGGATCAATCTGTGCTTTCAGGAGGGCAAGAGTCTCAGCCAACTCGTTTCGATTTCTAAATAAGGGAAAAAACAAAACAGCATAAAATTCTTAATTCTGTTCTAAAGAGCTTTCAGAATAATACCTATTAGAAATTAAAATAAAAAGAAAAACACAATCAAGAACACCCAAAACCCTGGTACACCTCATCTTAATTAACTTGAATTTAAGTACTAGGAATTAATGCATATTAAATATACTATTCTGCAAAAGGAAAGAATCTATACTCTCTATTGATTAAAATGCCAATGCAAATCTCTTTGGCTGAAAAGAACAGTAGGAACAAAATTAAAATTCAAAATCTGGTAATTTTTAAAAGTAGTATGCAATCTCTAAGAAGTACAAAAGCAATGTCAAATTTCCCTGAAGAGGCATTTGTTTTAAACAAAATGATTCAAGTTAAAAAAAAAAACATTTTTTTTAACATTTATTTATTTTTGAGAGAGACAGAGACAGAGTGCGAGCTGGGGAGGGGCAGAGAGAAAGGGAGACACAGAATATGAAGCAGGCTCCAGGCTCTGAGCTGTCAGCAAAGGGCCCAATGTAGGACTGGAACTCATGAACTGCGAGATCATGACCTGAGCCAAATAACCGACTGAGCCACCCAGGTGCCCCAAAATGATTCAAGTTCTTGATTCATTTGTAAGTAAGAAAGCTTTTCCATCTACAGAGAGAATAACATTTGATGCTGTTATAACATTATGATCCAGGTCTTTATGAATAATTACAGCAAAGTCAGCTCTTACAACACAGTTCAAAAACCTAAGAGTTTAGGAAACTGGATGTTGTTCTGTTAATTATAGTTTGCAACTACAAGAAGAGACTTCAATTTCAAAAAAAAAATACAAGAAAACCCTGGGGCACCTGGGGGGCTAAGTCGGTTGAACATCTGACTTCGGGGGCGCCTGGGTGGTGCAGTCGGTTAAGCGTCCGACTTCAGCCAGGTCACGATCTCGCGGTCCGTGAGTTCGAGCCCCGCGTCAGACTCTGGGCTGATGGCTCGGAGCCTGGAGCCTGTTTCCGATTCTGTGTCTCCCTCTCTCTCTGCCCCTCCCCCGTTCATGCTCTGTCTCTCTCTGTCCCAAAAATAAATAAAAGTTGAAAAAAAAATTAAAAAAAAAAAAAAGAACATCTGACTTCGGCTCAGGTCATAGTCTCACAGTTCATGAGTGCAAGCCCCACATCTGGCTCGCTGATGCCAGTGAAGAGCCCACTTCAGATTCTTTGTCGCCCTCTCTGGCCCTTCCCCGTTTGTGCTCTCTCAAAAATAAATAAACACTTAAAAAAAATACATGAAAATCCCAATAAATAAGATTTAACCTATCAATTCTCTATTTTTACTACCCAGACCAGAACTGTGTGAGAGATGATTGATTTAAATGCTGCCTATAGACAAGAAAACTCACTTGGGTATTTCTCCTCCCCAGATAAGCAATGTGTAAAAGTGAAGAGAACAATGAAACCCTGGACTAAGAGTTGGAAAAGTCAACTCTAGATCTGCCACTGAGTTAATCAATACCATGATCTTCCCATCTGTGTTGTCAAAGCAATGTGTATACATCTCTAATCCTATGTAGTTTGTATTCAAATGAAATTATTTCTGTTCTTATCTGCCATGCCATACATGTCTCTATCCTGTCCCCTTCTACCTCCATCCCAGCTTAACTCTGGTGACAGTAGGGACACTGACTTATGAAGTAGGCTCTTAAGGAAATATTTAATGAATGAATAGAATCCCTATTCCTAACCTAGATGACTGTGTCCCTGGACAAGTCATAGAGCTTCAAAAGGCCTCAGCTTCCTTATCTATAGAATAAAAGACAGGATTCGCTCAAATATTATTAAAACAGCTTCCTGAGGAAGTAATAAAATTGTCACTGATGGGAATATTAAAATTTTGTCATTGTATATGGTAATGAACACACAAGTTTATACATATTATTGTATATGGGAATGAATTCACAGGTTACCACATTACAAATAAAGTGAAGTTCTAGAATTATAAATTATCTAATAGTAGGAGGTCAGATTAAGATGCTCTTTCAGGATGCTGGCACTGCCTCCACATTACAAAAAGTAACTTAGAGATAAGTTAGAGATATTAAATAAATTTATTTTTGGCAAAGTTCACATTTCCTATAACTTCATTACACCAACCTGCTTCTAACCTAAGACTCTATCCACTTAATGTTATTACTTCTCTTAGTACACTGAGAATGCCACATGTACAAAGTGTCTCAACCTTCTTGTTATTTTTTGAAGTCATGCTGGGAACTGAATATATTAAGTTATTCACTGTATCTATTTTAAAAAGTTTCCAAACATAAGAAAAGAACCAATACTACCACAAAATCCATGTTAATTATTTGACTAAACAACAAAAAAACTTAGCAGAAAAATTCATTAAAGAACTCCATAATGGGGCACCTGGGTGTCTCACTCAGTTAAGCGTCTGACTTCGGCTCAGGTCATGATCTTGTGGTTCGTAGATTCGAACCTCGCTCGGACTCTGTGCTAACAGTTCAGAGCCTGGAGCCTGATTCAGATTCTGTCTCCCTCTCTCTCTGCTCCTCCTTCACTCATACTGTCTCTCTCTCTGTCTCAAAAATGAACATTAAAAAAAAATTTTAATATTAAAAAAAAAAAAAAACCTCCGTAAAAGCTTTTAACCCAACTACTGTGTTAAAATGCAAGCCTCATGTAGTCATAATTGTATGAAAACAGACAACTACCCACATTTGGAGTTCTCCTATTTTGATCTAAAAATGAAATTTAGTATGCTAAATAAGTTTTTTAAAAATCCCAAATTTGAGGATGCCTGGGTGGCTCAGTCAGTTGAACATCCCAACTGTTGATTTTGGCTCAGGTCATGATCTCACAGTCGTGGGATGGGAGTCCCGCATTCAGGCTACTTGCTGAGCATGGAGCCTGCTTGGGATTCTCTCTCTTCCTCTCTTTGCCCCTCTCCAGTTCACATGTGTGTGCTCTCTCCCAAACATTTTTAAAAAATAAAAAATAAAAAAATCCCAAGTTTTGAACTAGTCAGAGGGGATTTTTATAAATAATCATATATTCAAATTATACCCCAAATTCTTATCACTATCTCCAGGAAATCTTAGACTAGACTATGGATGCTAACAATAATTCAGTGGCTCTGTTCTCCTTCCTTCCAGGGCTTGTTTTTCTCTAAAATGTTTCATCACTCAGGTGTATTAGATATAACCCTACAGGGGCGCCTAGGTAACGCAGTTGGTTGAGCGACTGAGTTTGGCTCAGGTCATGATCTCACGGTTTGGGAGTTCAAGCCCTGCATCGAGCTTGCTGTTGTCAGGACAGAGCCCACTTCTGATCCTCTGTCCCCCAATCACTCTGCCCCTCCCCTGCTAGCGCTCTCTCTCTCTCTCTCTAAAATAAATAAAACACGAGATAAAAAAATAAAGATATATCCCTCCAAAATACCATGCTCTCTTAGAATGTCAGGTTTGCATTTCTGTTCTCTTGGCTTGAATGTGTTTCCCATAGCTAGCTAACCCTACTATTCTTTCAAAGACAAGCAAAGAATGAATAAACAAATGTGGTATATCCATGCAAGCAATACTATTTAGCCATAAAAAGGAACACAGTAATTATTCTAAGTATATTAACGAACCCTGAAACCATTATGCTCCCTGAAAGAAGCCAGACACAATGGCCACATATTATATGATTCTATGTACGTGAAATGTCTGGAATAGGCAAATTATAGAAACTGAAAGTAGATCGGCAGCTGCCATGGGCTGTGTAAAGGGAGAATGGTGAATAAAACTGCTAATGTCCAGGGTAGGCAGTACAAGGTTGCTCTGCTGGGTGGGGAAAATGTCCTGGAGTTTGAAAGCTGTGATGGCTGCACAACTTTGTGAATATACTAAAAATCACCGAAACTGTATTAAAAACAAAATTAATAGTGGCTTAGGGGCACCTGGGTGGCTCAGTCAGTTAAGCATCTGACTTTGGCTCAGGACATGATCTTGTGGTTCGTGAGTTTGAGCCCTGTGTCGGGCTCTGTGCTGACAGCTCAGAGCCTGGATCCCGCTTCAGATTCTGTGTCTTCCTCTCTCTGCCCCTCCCCTGCTCATGCTCTCTCTCTCTCTCAAAGAATAAATGAACATAAAAAAAAAAATTAATGGTGGCTTGGATAAGAACATAGCAATGAAGTGGATGAGGAATGATCAAACACTGGATACATTTTGCACAAACAGCTGTTTAGATTTGCTGACAGAGTGGATGTGAAGTGTGAGAAAAAAGACAAGTCAAGATTGTATCCCAAAGTTTTAGCCCCAAGCAGCTGAAAGGATGTGGCTGCTATTAACTGAGATGGGACAAAATGTTGAAGCGGAAAGGTTAGAAGCCCAGATTAACAGGCAGATTGATTTTGACGTAACAGATTCTAAACTCTTGTGTTTTACTATCTGTACCTTAAGTTAATTCAGACTTTGGTGAAATGGAGCATATCATCCTAATTATTATATTGTGAAAAATGATTTTTCCTAGTAGTCTAAGTCTAAGGTTTGCTCAGAGTTAGAATTAGTGGTAGGGATTAAACCTTTAAGAAGCGATTGAGCTGGTAGTACAGTACAATAAAAACTTAAAAAAAAAAAAAAAAAGACAAAACAAAAACAAAGCCAAGCATAGGCATCATCTTCTCCCAAGTATGGGTTAGGTATCTGATTCCTAAATAGCACACCAGAATGATCTCCATCAGAGATCACATTTATGATCCTATATTATCATTTACTATTTCCCTGTATCTTTCTCTCACAATTTGGAACTCCTTAAGAAACTACATCATGTCTTTGCATTTCCAGGGCACAGCACAGTGTGAATATAGCAACTCTGTAAATATATATAGTATAGGATTACAGGGTTCGGCAATATTCTAGCTTTTTTTCATCTGATTGCAAATTAATGAGGTGACAAAATAGGGAAGATAATGGAATGTGACAGTATTTCCTATGGGGGCCAAGAAACTGAAGGAAG